TTTGTGCATGTCGTATTTTTTTGACGCATCTATTCCTTAAAATCCTGTATTCTAGCCAGTCATTAACCAAATTACTTTTCTGAGCACATGCCCAAGCCTTGTCCCGAGTTTTCATGAGCTTAGTAATCAAAGGAACAAACCATGGTGGGCGGTTGCCTTTAGTTTTAAATCTAACCAACGGAGCATGTTTGTTAAGAATTTGAAGAAACGTTTACCTGAAGGTCTCCCAAGCCATAGTCAGGTTGGGGATATCACAGACCTTCTTCTTAGTTCTTTCGGTAAAGTCACGTAGAAGGGAAGTAATAAAATAATAAAAATAAAACATAATAAAATAAAATAATTCTCACGACGTTTCGGCTACAACGCAAGCAGCCGTCTTCAGGTGAAGAATGAGACAATGCCAAGCTAGGAGCTTATATATAAGCTGCGTTGGAGGTGGAGGAAAGAGCGCCTCCAACGCAGCTTATATATAAGCTCCTAGCTTGGCATTGTCTCATTCTTCACCTGAAGACGGCTGCTTGCGTTGTAGCCGAAACGTCGTGAGAATTATTTTATTTTATTATGTTTTATTTTTATTATTTTATTACTTCCCTTCTACGTGACTTTACCGAAAGAACTAAGAAGATGAATCCCTGCAGTCACGAAAGCTTTAAATCGAAATCACAGACCTTGTCAATATCCGAGTGAAGCACATCATTAGTAAATTCCTAAATGCTGAAGTGTCTTATGGAGTGCTTCTCAACCAATTTAGGGGGGCTTTGGGTCTGGCTGATGATCTCACCCCAAATATGAAGGAGTGATCACAAAGGTTAGTTTAACACGTAGGCTTTCGCGACCAATATTATTCATAATCAACGTTTTTGGGTTTAGATCGCGTTATTAATAAATGTGTCGTAACCCTCCACCACCCGACACGGCCAATCAGTAAAAAAGTGTCACGTTGACAAAAGTCTAGTGAGAGAGATTAAACATGTTAAAGAAGCACTAAGACAGAATGGCTACAATAATGCTCAAATTAACAGAGCACTAAATGCCAAATCACGATCGCAAAGCAACACTGCTGAAAGCGATCAGATTATTAAAACAATAAAAATACCACTTATCTCAGGAGTAACTGACAAATTAGCCCGTGTTTTGCAAAAGCAAAACATTACAGTAAGATTTGGTACAGTACACAAAATTCAACAACTAGTAACGTGCACTAAAGACGAATTACCTAAATTATCAACAGAAGGTGTATATCGGATTGTGTATGTGGCAGATGCTATATTGGACAGACAGGGCGTAACGTTAGTGTAAGACTAAAAGAACACCAGAGAAATATTAAATTATCACAAACACAACTGTCGGCAGTGGCAGAACATGCATGCCAACAGGGACACTCAATTGATTTTGACAACGTTGAAGTGCTGTGTAAAACTAGTTACTACTGGCAAAGAATAATTAGAGAATCGATTGAAATTGAGAGAAACAGAAATAACTTTAATCGCTCAGACAGCTACAGGCTTAGTGCGGTCTAGAAGCGTATTATTAAATAAGATACATTACAATTCCTTATAAGGGAAACAAACACTAACTGATTACTAATGTAGCATAATCACAATAAAACACATTCCAAATGATTACTAATCTACAACTCGCATCGTAACAATAGCCTGATTACTAATCTAGTATATAATTACAATAACTCCCCCCTCACATCTTTGCACCTGATGAGTTAATGATGACGTCACCCTGCTGCTGCTCTATATAAGAACGGGAGACACAGCAGAGCCTCACCATTCTGGCGAATTGCCCGATGATGCTGGATGCAATTACCAGCGAAACGTCGTACTCAAATTGTAAATGTTGTGGTTTCGCGCTTCAACACACCGGTGGGCTAGACCAGTGAACTAAATTGTCTTTTGACAACGTGACACTTTTTTACTGATTGGCCGTGTCGGGTGGTGGAGGGTTACGACACATTTATAAATAACGCGATCTAAACCCAAAAACGTTGATTATGAATCACTAAGGTTATTACCCAGAACACCAGTCAGTGCGGAATTGTGAGGGACATTTGTCAATAGGACATCAAGCAGAGATGACTGTCCCGGATTTTTTAGATTGGGTCTTGTGGGGACATTTATTAATTGAAATAAGTTAAATTCATCTACAAAATGTGTGGCCACGGCTGACGGGTTTAGCCAATTCCAATTTAGATCACGCACTAAAACTATTTCACCTTTAGGGAGGCCCCCAAGAAGCTCTCTCAGTCCAGACGCAGCTTCAACATAGAGGCTAAACGGGCACAACATGGACTGGAGAAGAGATGGACTGATGCGGTACGGGAGGATGTGGAGCCGAGTGGACTTGCCGACTCGCGGTGTCAAGATCGGCCTCTAATGGAGGAGGCTCGTGAAGGACGCTACTGGGCAGTTGGAGGCAGTCGCTCTCGAGCAACAACGGAGGGGAGAGGAGCAATGCTCACAATGAACGGAGCGCTGGGCGGCTAAAATGCAGCAAGTTGGCACAGTAGGGGGTACAGCTGGTGCATCTACAATTCATCGCAGTCAGTCAACCCATGGCACCTGGTTCTGTCCTAATATCTGTCAGAGAGCCTTCGATACTTCACGTGGCCTCAAATTGCACCTGGCCTGGCGCAGGCGGCTTGGTGACGTCACCGTTACTTCGTGGCGAATGGCGGGTATTGGTATTGGTCGATTTTGAGTTGGTCTGGTTCAGTACATATCTGATGTGCGTCTTAATCGGTAAGTGGAGAGCGGTAGTACAGCGGTTCACACACTTGTGCTGCGATTCTTGCTCACAGCCAACACCAATGGCGATTATCTAAACGGGTCCTGGGTCTCACCTACGACTCGGCCTCAAATGAGTATCTGGTGCGATATGTAAACATCACTACTCGGGAGACAAAGATGACTGGCGGTGTTACTTGCCACCCACCCCCTCGCGTGCCATGCTGACCTTCATAAGTGCTACTCGCTAACAGCACTTGCCCCAACCGTCTTTTAAGGCTATCTTTGTTAATCGGTACCGTGCCAGTTTCAAAAATGCAGGTTGGCCTGCCTACGATCCACCCTAGGTTTAACCAAACGAGATCACAATGTGAGCTCACAGATCCTTTCAAATGTTTGTAGAGTAGTTTCACTCGGTCTGTGCGGATTCAGTGTGATTTCGCGCATATGCGGCAAACCTATTCTGACCCAAAAGCTTCCTTTGTGCGGTTTTAATTCACTCTACATGCAGCAATGCACGTGTGGTGCTTGTGTGCGCTACTCGATAGGCAGCCGGCTCCTCGTTAGATGCATAGTCCTTTGGGTGAATGCGGTTCATGCTACGCAAACTTCGCTTTTTTTGGAACCCATCTCTCGCATAAAGTAAGGCAAACCTGTAGTCTCATCGGTGAGCTCCTTCGGCAGGCAAAAAATAGGGCGTGAGTTTATTCGGGCGTAGCCAAGTACTATACTCACCGTCACATCGCCCGCATGCCCAGCCACCTGCATGCCCAAACAGCTTCTGTTTGGCCGGATAGAGGGGGCTAAACAGGCACGGCCCTGTCAAAAACTGAGATGGAGCTGATGTGGTACAGGAGTGGGAGCTGAGTGGACTTTACGATGACCAGTATCAGTGGGGTCAAGACCGACCTATATGGATGAGGCTCGTGAAGGCAGTTGTAGGCAGTCGCCCACTGTGCCGAGTTGGGCCAGTGGGAAGCACAGCTGGGACCTCTTAACAGTCATCTGTCAATCCATGACAACCTGGGTCTGTCCCGTTCCCTTCTGCCAGCGAGCCTTCGACACTTCACATGACCTGAAAGTGCACCTAGCCTGGCACAAGCGCCGTGGTGACGTCGACCATCACTTCGTGGCGAACGGCGGCTGTTGTAGTTAATAGCTTAAGGTTCTGTCGGTTGCGGTGCCTGTACGTGTTTGAGTGTGGGTGAGCGCTTGTGTGCTCTAGGGTACTCGGGGGCGGGGGGTCTGGGTTAAGAGGCTGAGCCGTATAGCGCCAGCCGGTGACCGTGTCGTGTTACTAGCAGGACGAAGTTCAGACCGTGTCAACAGGGGAAGAAACTGAACCACCGAGCTCGGCTCGAATATGAGAATGTCTGGGTGGTACTTTGATGCCAGCGAGGTGGGGGTCACGGAACCCTCACGGGGGGCTGCATGTGTAAGTAGCAGGAAAAGAGAAATGTGGAGACAGGATACATGAGAGAAGCGGGGACACAAAGACACGGAGAGACCACATGGAGGCATGGAGCAAAGACACAGACACGGGAGGAAAATGTGGAGATAGACGCATGGAGTCACGGATGCGTGGACACATAAATGGGGAAGAAACACAGAGATACGGCCATGGAGACACGCGGAGAAACACACATCCATAAGAGTAGCGAATTGGCACGTTTTGTTTACGTGACAAACCTGACCAATTGGCTGCGTCGGGTGGTGGAGGATTTAACGACATTTATATTCACGCGATCTAACCCAAAAAACCCTCTTATGGATATTGGTCGCGAAAGCCTACGTGTTAAAATACACTCATTTAACTGCACATTTCAGCCACTTGCTCGACTCACCCACCCCACTCGCGCACTCACCCTCCCGCTCACCGACCCTCTCACTCCCACCCACTCATTCATCCACCCGTTGCAAATCAAGTGTACTCACCATTACACAATAAAACTTGAGCTTCCTTCGTTCCCAGTTAATTAATTAATCTATATACAGTATATAAATGGAAATTTGTGAATGTGCCTGTTCAAAATGTTTAGCGTACTTCCCGACATGCAACAAACTTGAAATTTGCCATGTGGGTACTTTCCCAGACTGTACACAATGCAAAATTATAAAAATAGATTTTTTTATTTGGGGGGGGTGGGGGCGCAATAATGGATATATTTTGCACGGCAAGTGAGCGGTGACGTCACATCTGTGATGTCACCCGCATGCGGCAGCGTCACGCAGTGTGCCTGCTGACGTCACGCCCCCCCCCACCCTCCGCGTAATTTGTATAACTTTTTTTATTATTCGCTTGTTTTCCCAGGAAAGCCTGAGGGAGTCTCAACTCTTTGTCAGGAGGGTCCTCCCAGTGTTCTGCAGTCGGGAGCAATGTCGCTGCTGTGCGTAATCTCATTTGAGTAATTTGCAGGGCATTTGTCAGTTGGGATGTTTGGCCAATTGTAGTTGCATTGAATGTGTTTTAGCTAAGGATGGAAAATTTGAGAATCCGGAGAAAATCCACTCAGAACAGGGGGAGGACATCCACAAATCTAACTCAGGGTCTTCTTGCTGTGAGGCACGAGCATTAAAGCCTGTGCTGCGCCCTTCTGCTCACTCAGTCACGTGTTGACATGTATTGTGTTACGAGAAAATATTTTGTCTTACCAAAAAATATTTAATTACTTTTAAGGTGTTAAAAATAAAAATACAAATCATCAAAAGCATACAAAAATAAAAACCCACATGGGAATTAACCTGACAAACTGGACATGTCTGTTAACCACTCAACCAAACCATCGCTTAATTCAGGAAAAGCTCAGTCTGAAACAAACTTATTGTTATTGCATTGTTTTAACCTGGGACAAAAATCTGTGAGCAGCAACCGATAGAAGTAGATGAGCATGATAATATTCATGAGATTCAATACTATACAGAAGAAAAGTGGATGCATCAAGAGCTGCCATTGTACAATAACATAGACAGTTAGGTAGGCCTGTGCACCGAGACGAAAAATTACGTATGTGAATGCGTTAAGGTATCGGTTGAGTCGATAGGCCCGACTGCAGCCCGCGTTGGCTCCTGCCAGCTTCATGAGCAGACGCGCGTGCAGAAACACGCTGTTCACTTCTACAAGCAGAGCCACTGTGGTCCCAGCGACGTACTGTAGGGTCAGCAGTGAGTACCCGAAACACGACAACACCTGTAGGAGCACAACAGCACAGGTGATATATTGCAAGGACTGACCAAGGATATGTAATAATAATCACCATCTTTGCATTTACATGGCGTGGATGAAGTGGCTCGGCAACTGAAAGCGACTTTGCATCACATCTCAATCGTTCAGAGGGCACCCCCAGTGGCAGCTCTCCCTGTGCGACGCAAGGCGACTCGGCATTCGGGGCCCGAGTACGCAGCCATTCCGCAGACGCGGAACTGTGTGAGAGCCGTTGCTATGATGTCACTCCCATTCCAACCAGCCAAATCAGCTGCAACGGGGATTTTGGCACCAATTTCCAGCAGCAGAAGAAGAATGAACTCAGCGTCTGATGGGGTGGACACTCTTGTTTACGATGCGGGTCGAGCGGCGGCAGGAGCCACATGAGAAACGAGTGCACGTGGCAGAGGCAAGCACAGCAATGTTGTCTTCATAGTTTAATATATCGTTTTCATGATGTCATCATAGTTTATTATATCGTAAAAATTATGTTAATAATGTTATTTTTTTATAAAGTATAATGCAATGTTAATGTTATAAGCGTATTACTTTGTTAGGAATAATGCTAATATTAACCACAACCATACACAACAAATGCTCAAAGAACCACAACCAAACACCACTCAAACCGCAATCATCACAAGAAGTGCTTCAATACACGCAACTTAAATCACTCGAACACAACTACACCAACAAACACATGGTACGCCAAATAGGCACAGCATAGGTGATGACTGTTTGTCATCCAGCTTGACGAACTGTGATTGACCGTGCAGGTATGACTCAATCAACCCCAGTGCCATACCCAATACACTGAACCTTGACCTAAGCTGCTCGATGAGTATATCTTGGTCGATGGTGTCGAAGGCAGCTGAGAGATTGAAGCCAACCAATGCTGTGGTGCAGCAGTCATCCGTGATCTTGTAGAGGTCATCAGTGATCTTTAGTAGAGCCATCTCAGTGCTGTGGAGCTTCCAGTATGCAGACTGAAACAGGTGGAATCTGCCCATTTCAGTGATGTGGGGAAGTAACCACTTCAAACAATGGTTCCCTATGACCTTTTAAATCGTACTCAGGTTTGAGATCGGAGTCACTCTGACTCAAGCCAGCTTTTTTCAGGAGTGGTGTCACCTGCGCCATTTTGAACCAGTCTGAAAAACAGCCTTCACTGAATGAAGAATTTTGCCAGGTAGACAATGAGCGGTGCAACCACGTCCATGCATGTGTAGAGGTGTAATTGCGCATGGCTACGAATGTTGAGGTGTGATTATGCATGGCCACGGATGGCCAACAAACACAAGGGGCGGGGTTACGGCCGTACACAAGGGTGGCGCTAGCACCGACGTCCGCATGTGTATCCCCCACGGGCCCCCCCTCGGGGGCGAGTCCTATAAAAGGTGATGAGCTCGAGGGCTCGAGGTCGGGACTCAGCTTTAACCAGAGAAGACGGAAGACCAGCTAGTGTAGGCCCCAGAGCTCCCCTGGCTCGCTGTCCTTATAAGGGCCGACCAGGGCAAGCCGGTGGCGTGGCCCCGAGAGCCCAGACGAAGCTGGTCTGGTGACTCAGGGAGCCGGGATCCCAGCTTAACCAAGCTGGGACAGATAGCCTCCCCTAGTCCCGTAGTGGAGGAATTGGTATAGGTTAGAGGGGTTAGCTGTCGAGAATCCCTGTAGCCAAGTGACCTGTACAACTGTGTTGGTGTATTAAATAAGTGTGCCTCCGATCCTGTCGTCAAGCCTCCATATATACTTACTACACATGATTTAAAAATCGATGTATGGATGTATTCGAGTGGCGATGTTAATTTGGCAGCTCTTTGATGAACATCGACACCTCTGCCACCGTGGTTGGTGCCAGGGTCTCGAGTTTTGCATTGGTTCCATGTCGATCAAACTCAGATGGAAAATTGGGAGAATGCATTGCCTTCAAGCTAGAAACTGCCATCTCTTGGTCATGACTATTTTATTGGCGAAGAACATCACAAGTACTGTTAACAGACCGGATTGACAAGTTGATGGGTCGTTGGAGTGCAGCAGACCCTTCACGACGCGCCACAGAGCACAGGGATCCGTGAGCTGATCCATTGATGCAGAGCACAGAACGATCTGCGAGACTCAATAATGAGTCAGCTGACAGATCTGCAGGCAGCTCTGTAAGCGAGGCGGACAGTCTTGAAACCAGTTTTCTTTCAGAGATGCTATAGCCTCCGCATCCACTGCACTGCAATCGCCTCCGGTAAACGCCATTTACCCTTTGGTTCTTTCGGTAAAGTCACGTAGAAAATGAAATAATAATAGAATACAACGTTTCGATTGCAACACAAGTAACCATCATCATATAAGAATGAATGAGAAAACAGACATAGTAAACTTAGAAATATAATGCAATACCACACAGAGTCGGCTAACACAACAGTGAACACCCCCACCTGGTTGATTATGTTCTTACAAAGATTGCTAAATTTGAGAGAGACAAAACACAGACATGGAGACACAGACAGACACACATGCAGAGAGAGACACACATAGATAGAGAAACACCAAGGCAAAACAGAAAGACAACGCCTCTGTCGAGGCCTTAAATAGAGTGAGGGGGAGGGGTTTGGGCAGAGAGAAAGGGGGGGGGCAGAGAACAACGAAAGAGCTGTGTGGAATTCCGGATCATAGTGGCCAGAGGAGAGACATTGGACCCACAAACAAACTAGCACTGCTATTTTTAGAGCAAGAAAATAGAAAGTTTGAGAAAGCTAATTTAGTCAAATTAGGAAGTGTAATGCAATGCAACACAGAGAGTCGGTTAACACACAGTTAACGCATAGCCTGGTTGATTACGTTCTCCCAAAGATTGCTAAATTAGAAGTTAAGCGTAAGTTGTGAGGAAACCCTCCCCGTAGAGGTGGTTCAAATTAAATTCGAAGCTTTCGTGACTGCAGGAATTATTCTTTGGTTCTTTCAGTAAAATCACGTAGAAAGAAATTAAATTAAATAATAATAGAATACGACGTTTCGATTGCCACACACGCAGCCATCATCAGATACAAATGAATGAAAAAACAAACATAGTAAACATGGAAATATAATGCAATACAACACAGTCGGCCAACAAAACAGTCAACACCCCACCTGGTTTATTACGTTCTTCCTCTTCCAAAGATTGCTAAATTTGAAAGAGAGACAAAACATAGACACGGAGGACACAGACAGACACACAAGCAGAGAGACTCACAGAGACAGAGAGGCACACACACATAGGCACACAGTAAGACAACGTCTCTGTGTCGAGGCCTTAAATAGAGAGAGAGGGGGGGCAGAGGGGGAATTGTGTGAAATTCCTGCCCATAGGGGGACGGACGAGCTGGACACTGGACTTCTAAACAAACAAGCATGGAGCGGTGTGTGGAATTACTGCCCATAGCGGCCAGAGGAGAGAATGGACCCATAAACAAGCACGGCAGAAAGCAAATTTAGTAAAATTAGCAAGTGTAATGTTTGTCTCTGTGTGAGTCTCTCTCTGCGTGTGTGTCTGTGTGCCTCCTTGTATATGTTTTGTCTCTCTCTCAAATTTAGCAATCTTTGGAAGAACGTAATCAACCAGGTAGGGTGTTGACTGTTTTGTTGGTCGACTCTGTGTTGTATTGCATTATATTTCCAAGTTTACTATTTAGTTGTCTCATTCATTTGTACCTGATGATGGTTGCTTGTGTTGCAATCGAAATGTCGTATTCTATTATTATTTTATTTAATTTATTTCTACGTGACTTTACCGAAAGAACGAAAGAGTAACTCAACTTCTAATTTAGCAAGCTTTGGAAGAACGTGATCAGCCAGGCTAGTCGTTAACTGTGTGTTAACCAACTCTGTGTTGCATTGCATTACACTTCCTAATTTTACGAAATTTGTTTTGATCCAACTTCCAATTTTCTTGCTCTAAATATTGCCGTGCTTGTTAGTGTGTCCATTGTCTCTCCTCTGGGCACTATGGTCCGGAATTCCACACAATTCTCTCATTGTTCTCTACCCCCCCCCCCCCTCTTTCTCTGCAACAACCCCTCCCCCCTCTCTCTATTTAAGGCCTCGACACAGAGACGTCTTTCTGTTTTGTCTTTGTGTGTGTCTCTCTCTGCATGTGTGTCTGTCTATGTGTCTCCATGTCTGTGTTTTGTCTCTCTCTCAAATTTAGCAATCTTTGGAAGAATGTAATCAACCAGGTGGGGTTATGACTTGTGTTAGCCGACTGTGGTATTGCATTATATTTCTAAGTTTACTATGTTTGTTTTCTCATTCATTCTTACCTGATGATGGTTGCTTGTGTTGCAATCGAAATGTCGTATTTTATTATTTTTAATTTCTTTCTACGTGACATTACCGAAAGGACCAAAGAGTAATTCCTGCAGTCACGAAAGCTTCGAATCTAGCCATTTACCACACGCTTTTCCGGACCTCTTTGTTCCTGTTTGGATGGGTGCGTGTTCATCAAGAACAGCAGTAATGTTATTTTCTAATTGAGTTGCAAATGAATCGACCGTCTATGCAGGTTTTAACATGCCGATGATGACGAGATTTTATGATGGAAAGCATCGTGGTCACAGCCATCACCCACCAAGCCATGTTCTCACTACATGGTCATTCTCACTAATGGTACTTTCAACAGACTGGTAAAAGATATCTGCAGGGGTAAGTGTCATGGCCCAGTGGTAGTGTGTTTGCTGCTTTGTTGCCAAGCCGACTTTCAACATTAGCCTCTGTTTCTTAGGATTAAGAATCAGCCTTCCACCTCTGTGTCATGACGATGGAAAGAGACTCCAATTAAATTGTGTAGAAGTACAGTAGTTTATTCATCAGATGTGTAGAAACACGTCTGATCGGGGAGACAGGTGTCTGAGCAAGATTAATTCAATCGCATTATTTGCTATTCACATGTTACAACATTAATTCATATTCTGCTGCCAAAATCCATGATTGCAAGTACGAGCTTGAAAACGTGCTCATTAACATGAAGCCAAAGCAGCTGAAACATAATATGCTTGCTTCTGTATTGGTTGAATAGGATGCCAAGGCTGCTGAAATATGCACCACTTCAGAATTTGTTTCATAGGTCAGATGCCACTGATGAGACTGAAAAAGTCAAAACCAGTCCATATTTTTTCTGCTTAAACCATGTTGTAGGAAGATATTGGTCTAAATAGCTGGGAGATGAAACTGTTACTTTATTTGTACACCGGGCAACAGGCTTTCATATGATTAATAGTTGTTTTTTGGTTAGGCCACGAAATGATCTGGCCAAATATGTCTCAAGACCCTCCACCACCCAACGTAGCCAAACAAATCAAATGTACATGTATACAAGATTTAGCGAACCAAGTATTATGGTTTGAGCTGACAATAATTTCTTGGAACTGGGTCAACCATCTTCAGGTCATGAAACCGGGAAGTCAAAATAAAAGGGAACCACAAGAAACTTAATTTGGAGCTTTCGTGACTGCAGCAATTATTCTTTGGTTCTTTCGGTAAAGTCACATATAAAGATAAAATAATAAATTAAATTAAATACTAGCATACGACGTTTCGATTGCAACGCAAGCAATCATCATCATGTATAAATTAAATAGAAACACAAATCTAGTATACTAGTATACTAGATTTTTTTGTGTTTTTTTTGTGTTTCTATTTAATTTATACCTGATGATGATTGCTTGTGTTGCAATAGAAACGTCGTATGCTAGTATTTAATTTTATTTATTATTTTATCTTTATACGTGACTTTACCGAAAGAACCAAAAAATAGGAACCACAAGACATGTTCAACAATGTTCTCAAATCTAAAATGTGCATGGGGCATTGACATGGCCCAGTGGTAGTATGTTCACTATTGCAGAGGTTCACAGTTGGAATTTGGCAGGCTGTCCTGATTAAAACTGCGAGTGATTAACCATACGAAATGTGACATCTGCTTTACAGTGGATGTTAAAGATCCTGTGGCATCATTCTAAACGAGGAGGCCATTGTGTACCGACATCTTAATACATAGGCTTTCACAACCAATGCCATACTCTGGTCTTCACACCTGATTGGCTCACAAGTGACAACATTACGTTTATCCCTATATTAAAGACTGAAAGAGGATTTCTCCATAACTCTGCCTGTCGCCTGATGGGGCTGGTTTGAATTACTGGTGAAACGTCCGAATTGTACATTTTGTGCATTTACTCTCCAACACACCAGTGTGCTCAATAAGTAACGAATTGTCATGTTTTCATTACATGACAAACCTTACTAATTGACTGTGTCATGTGGTGGCGGGTTTAACTACACATTCATATTTATGCGATCTAACCCCAATAACCTCTATTATGGATCACAATCTAAATTTGCCAAAGTTGAAAATTACTCAATTGGGATTAAACATAGTAACATCACTCCCTTTTGTTTAAACTATTTGAGAATGCGTGAAACAGTGCATCCATGATAGCATTGTACTATAATGGCACAAAACCACAATAACTATATAATTCTTATCATTATTAAGTAGGGTTAGGGTTAATGTAATTATCAATGAGTATAAATGCATGAAATAACCAGCAACGAGGGAAGATGACAAATGCGGAGGGGCACGAGGAGGAGCGGAGAGTGGAAACTTCCCTCGAGGATCATGAGACACTCACCAGCGCGTGGTGAAATAGAAACTCCCATGAAGCCTTCACCTGACCACTCCAAACAATATCCAGTGTGTCCTGCAAGAAATAGCCTGCACAGAGCCACACGTCAAATTACTGCACACTCAATGAAGCTGCGGAACATTGCGCAATTTTTATAGCTTTACCCAGTCAGGAGAACAATTCATAATTAAAATTTGTCCTGAAGCTGTTTGGAAGATTCAGGAAAAACATCGTTTACGTAAATCGGTACCTGACATGACTGCAGGGATTCATCTTCTTGGTTCTTTCGGTAAAGTCACGTAGAAGGGAAGTAATAAAATAATAAAAATAAAACATAATAAAATAAAATAATTCTCACGACGTTTCGGCTACAACGCAAGCAGCCGTCTTCAGGTGAAGAATGAGACACTACCAAGCTAGGAGCTTATATATAAGCTGCGTTGGAGGTGGAAGAGCGCCTTAACAAAAAGAATGTGCATATGAAGAGGGATTTAGCATATTCATGGCAAATGCGTAGGAGGTGGGCGGGGGGGTTTCAAAGTCATATTATGCCCATGCATTATGCAGGATCAACAGCACCAAGGGGGGGTGCAGGGATTAGCAGTAACAAAGGAAAGGAATGTTAATGATATGTAGCTGCAGTTACTCAACAACCACGTAGAAAACTAAAGTATAAACTACATAAAAAACTAAAGTATAAACTAAAGTATATTCGTTCATGAGGCGATCCACATATACAAACACAGAGACAATTTTAACCGAGAAGATGGATTCTGGCTTAGCAATCATTGGAAGGACGTAATAAACCATTTCGATACACATTAGGGTGGGTAGAATAATACATAGTGTTATATTAAAATGTATAAGGTATAGGTCGGGTTACAGCAATACAGTATATAATCTAATGTTGGGTTTATCTATGGCAGTATATAGTACGGTATATGCTCGTGTGATGTAAGAGAATAAAGTTTAGATGAAAGCATATTATATAATTTTTACGACGTAGAATTGTAATGTATTACTTGCTGTTAGTAACTCAGCTTATTGTAGAGTATAGTAAGTATACTGATGGTGCTATGCAGTTTATACTTTAGTTTTTTATGTAGTTTATACTTTAGTTTTCTACGTGGTTGTTGAGTAACTGCAGCTACATATCATTAACATTCCTTTCCTTTGTTACTGCTAATCCCTGCACCACCCCTTGGTGCTGTTGATCCTGCATAATGCATGGGCATAATACGACTTTGAAACCCCCCCGCCCACCTCCTACGCATTTCCCATGAATATGCTAAATTCCTCTTCATATGCACATTCTTTTTGTTAAGGCGCTCTTCCACCTCCAACGCAGCTTATATATAAGCTCCTAGCTTGGTAGTGTCTCATTCTTCACCTGAAGACGGCTGCCTGCGTTGTAGCCGAAACGTCGTGAGAATTATTTTATTTTATGTTTTATTTTTATTATTTTATTACTTCCCTTCTACGTGACTTTACCGAAAGAACCAAGAAGACGGTACCTGACAATTACATTTATTTGGTGATATCTGGTGAAGGGTCATGCAACACAAATTTGGCTGGCTCATTACATAAATTATTTGCCTAGCCATATCATAACCATTGTGAAAACATCCCTCCCTTACCTGTGGAGATGGCTAGGAGCACGTTCATTGGCAGAGTATAGCTGGTAAGGTCAGTCAACACCTCAGGAAAGAAAATCAAGCTGGAAAAACAAATAGGATTAAGGTTAAAATACTCAACTCATAAAATACACTCATCGTTGAAGGCCCAAAACACCAAGTGGCCAGCTATAAATAGCATGATTAAATGTGTAGTGAGTTAAACTGAGTCGCAGACATATATTTGGAGGTAACACATTTATTTAACTCTAACCCAAACGGGGTAACTTTCCCTTAACAGAATAAAAACCTATGGTGGTGACCACCAGGCTAACTACACTAGTTACAATGTAACTGCTACTACGGACCGGGACCACAGCTCAGGTCCAGGTCCACGTGTTGGAGACTCGTTGATCGGAGAACGTAGAACGTAGACATAGACGAAGGTTTCTTCAGGATGAACAAAAACGCCGGTCCCTCTGGGAACCCGGCTTATATTCTCTCCGGCGTAGCTGGTTCCGCCTTTGGCCACGACCGCCTTCCACAATCCTCCGAAAGGATCTGGATGCTAACTACGTGACCACCCCGAGCCCCCACTTGGGCCCCTTTGTAGACTTAACTGGTCACATGTCCTCTCGGGTTAACCAGAGTGGCCTTTAGTAACCTCATTCCTACGGCCGGCACTCCCACACCCTGTCCTGTAGAGCTGGCACTGCACCCCAAGCGTGGTGCCATTTAGCGCTATCAATCAGCGCTCACCGAGCCCCTCTCGGGCCGGGACTACACCCACACCATTGTGGTGTCCGCGATGTCGTTACACCGCACGCAGTGCCTCTCTAGGGCAGGCACTGCACAGTGACATCCCGCAATGTCACTACATCACCACACCCCCCCCCCCCTCCTTCGTAGCACTCAGGCTGTCAACTCGCCATCAACAAAACAAAACGAACAACCCCTTAGTGTGCCTCAACAAATAAATACCCCAACCCATCTATACAATATGTATACTATATACAGAATATACAGTAACTAACGGGGAAAGGAGACAGGAGTATAGAACAACAAAAGGCAAAAACCAAGGAAGAGACAGAAGGGAAGAGAGAGAGGAAAACACCCAAAACGCAGTAACATGTGAAACCTCGAGACCCCCTCCAGCACCAACATCTCCCAACCACAACGTGTAACACCACCAGCAAGCACAACAAAGGCCAGGTTCAGCCAATAACCAATACGGCCTGCCGAGTGCGACAACGAACTGACGGTGTGGGAGCACGTGTGTGTGGGGGATCACGAAAACCGAAGAGTCTTTGATCGAGTCCTTGTGGCAGGGCTCCCAGAGGAGGTGGGCGTACTCTCCCTGGGGGTTCTGGGGGGAATTTGAAAATGTCCCGTCGAATCCGGCTCCTCACGAAGAGCAGTTGGCCGGGCAGACGGGCCTTCCTCTCCCAAATCTTGTGGAGACGGCGCAGGTGGCGGCTTGGGGGACGTTAAACGCGCGGCACCTTCGGGTATAGTGGAGGACGGTCGAGCGGACGATGGCAGTGGTCCGGGGAGGCGTCGTCGCGGCACGCGGCAGCCCGACGAGACATGCCCCGGCAAGCAGCAATTGTAGCACACGACGGGGCCGTTCCCAGGATGAGGAGAGGTCTTTCGCCGTCGAAGTTGTTCATCCCGTCACACCATGCCAGGACGATGTTGAGGTCCTTCGCCAACGTCAACAATCTCTCAAGGACCGGCGAGTCGATTCCGTCATGGTCCATCTTCGGGAAGGCAATAGTGCGCTATGGAAGGCGAGGGGCATCTCGGCCTCCCCCCTCCTCAGCGCAGCGAATTTATGGTGCACATTTGATGGCGGTTCGTAGATTGCCACCATTTGAGCAAAGGCTTTATGTAGCGTGGCCATCACCGACGGCGGGATGGTGAGAAACACCGCCAAGGTGTCATTGCCAAGTGCGGTGGGCAGCGCTCTCAGTGCCTCCGTCCACCCCGCCAAGTCGCTGTTCGTCAGGAACCTGCGCTTGAAGGCCACCCAGTTGCCTCTGGTGGCTGAACATTTTTTAACAAAGGGTAGTCGTCACCTGAGAGATGGAATGTCAACAGCGAAACTCGATGCAGTCTCAGATTTGGCGGGCTCTCCGCTCCACGAGCAAAATGGCAGCCGCTTGTGTGGGCTGTACCACGGAGGTTTCCCGCACAGCTTCGGTGCTCTCTTCGCCACCGCTGGCTCTTCGCGGTGGAGCTCCACGACGATCACCGCCACAGACTCGAGGAGTTGAGAGGCGCGAGCAGAAAGTGTGGCGCTCCCTCCCCGACGGCGATGAGCTGTCTCTGGGATGGTCGTCGCAATGACATAAGGGGTTGGCGGCGTGTACCGCGCCTCGTGAGACGTGTGATACACCCGAAGATGTGGAGCCCGTCCAAGCCTGTGCATCGACCCAAGGCGGAGGCTGGCGAGGGGACTGCATGGTGCGAGAAAATTAACAACTTCGACAGCGAAAGACCTCTCCTCGTCCTGGGAGCGTGCTCGTCGTGTACTACAACTGCGGCCTGTTGGGACACGTCTCGTCGGGCTGCCGCGTGCCGCGACGATGCCTCCTCGGACCACCGCCATCTTCCGCCCGACCGTCCTCCACTCCACTATACCCGAAGAGGAGTCGCGACATGTCACACACTCGGCCCCTAAATCCACCTCACTCATCACGTTCGGTCGGTTTTCATTCCTGTCGTGTGTTGGTGCGCGAGGGTTCAGATGTTGCTTGGGCTGATTGGCCGCTCCAACCTGGTCAGTGGTCGGAGTTGGCCTATCGAGTGGTTGCCGCGACCGCAGGTTCATCCGCTGTTATCGGATTGATAGAGGGGGTTGAAAGACTCGTCGATACTGGTGCATCCATGTCTTTCATTTACGAGTTGATTTTTAACATTTTGCCCCTTATGTCCCGTCGGAGTTCCGTGCTTTGCCGCAAACGGCGGCTCATTGGGCATCATTGGGAAAATAACAGCGGAGGTGTGCATTGAGGATATAAAATTGACGGGATTAGTTCTTGTATCAACGTCCCTTGCTGTTCCTTGCTTGCTTGGATTGCCTTGAGTTATCTTCGGGCCATCGAATGGTCTTTTTGCCTTCTCCCACCCGTTTCTGCACGGCCAACGCTACTGTACAAGTGCTTGCGAGCAAGGCCGTAAAGATTCCCCCCGGCGTGCAGATGTTGGTTCCCTTACGATTGCACAAGCTGCTAGACCAGGAGGTAACTGCGAGAGAAATCCTTTTAGGACCCTCAAACACAGCCATTCGTGGGTTGACATTGGTGGGGGCCCAGACTTTGGTTTTCCAATGACCATTAACCGTTGAATGCAGGGTTGGATACGTCTGTCATTCAGGAGGGCACCGTACTAGCCCACGTGTCACCTGCGATTCGCGAGGGAAACATCGTTGGCAGTGTGGGGGTCGTGTCGAATACAAAGCCGCAACAGGTTTCTGATGAAAAATGGATGGATACACTTTGTTCTGAAAATTCAGAATTGTCCGAGTCCCAGAGGGGGGAGTTGAGGCCGCTTTTGTGCGAATTCTCCAATGTGTTTAGCAAGGGCAAATTTGGCATCAGCCGCACTATGTTTTTGAGTCACTACATCGATACGGGCAATGCTGCTCCTATCCAGCAGAGCCAGAAGACTGGCGGTTGATGAAATGTTGGCCGCCGATATAATCTCGCCGTCCCCAGCCCGTGGGGAGCCCCAATTGTTCTTGTTAAAAACAGGATGGTAGTTTGCGCTTCTGTGTTGACGTTCGTAAGCTTAATAAGATTCTCTGTGGCCGATGCGTACCCTCTTCCTCGGATGGACGATTCCCTAGATGCTCTAGCAGGAGCATGTTATTTTTTGACTCGACCTCTTTTCCGGATTTTGGCAGTTGCCGCTAGATGAATCCTCTTAGCCCAAGACAGCCTTTCGTACGCCACAAGGCTTGAATTTAATCGGCTTCCGATGGTTCTTCATTCCGTGCCGGCTACGTTCCTGCAATTGATGGAACTGGTTCTAGCTGGCCTCCAGTCAGACTCGTGCCAAATATACCTTAATGATGTTATCGTTTTAGCCGTACGTTCAAAGAACATCTGGAATGGCGACTTAAAATGCGTGCGGCAAACCTCAAATTTAAACCCCAGAAGTGTCACCTGCTCCAAAAATCTGTTCGGTATCTTGGCCACATAGTCAGTAAATCAGGGTTAGCGACAGACCCGGAAAAAATACGCGGGTGTACGTTCTTGGCCGATCCCCACGTCAGTGGAGGAGGTGCGAAGTTTCATTGGTTTTGCGTCTTATTACCGCCGTTTTGTCGCCGGGTTCACCACTATCGCCAAACCTCTCCACGCCTTGATGGCAAAGGGTCAGAAGTTCCATTGGGGAGAGGAGGAGGAGACCACATTTGTTGTGCTCCGGGATGGCTTGGTGAATGCCCCTCCCCTGCGATACCCCGACTTTTCCTTGATACAGATGCTAACACCGGAATTGGCACTGTTCTGTCTCAAGTTGTCAATGGTGTCGAGTGTTGTCGTATATGGCAGCAGAGTGCTGTCTCTGGCCGAACAACGGTACTGTGTCACACGCCAGGAACTTTTGGCTATTGTTTTTTTTGTGCAACAGTATCACCCCTATCTTTATGGCAGACACTTTGATGTGCGCTCTGACCATGCAGTACTACAGTATGCGCTGCGTATTGAGTAGCCATCTGGCCAACTTTCATGTTGGTTGGAAATCCTCCAAGACTATTCCTTTACGGTCTCCTATCGCAAAGGTACCTGACACACGAACACGGATGCCCTGTCTCGATTACCAATGAGCGATGGGTGCGCGTGTTTTTTGGGCTCGGGGAGCTGTAAGGCGCCTGCTGAGGACTCGCCCCCTCCCCTTGCGGTGTTGGCCAAGGTTGACACCTCTGAGAATGTCGATAGTCCTGTGGCGTGTGACGCTATTATTGGCTTAGACCATGTGGAGTGGGGGCACCTCCAGGTTGAGGACGCTTCCCTGTTCAAGTTACGCCACCGTGCCAAGGAGGCAGAGGGGGGTGGAGATCGACGGGGTGTAGCCTCTGTCATCCTCAGAGGCGGATTGCTCATGCATTGGGACGGAGGGTTGCAACGTTACAACATTGTCGTACCTGCTGCCCTACGGGGTAAAGTCATCGGAGCGGTGCACGAGCGATTGTTACAACTGGGTGTCCATAAGACACTAGCCACACTTAAGCTTGACTTTTTCTGGTCTGGCATTGCAGAAGATGTCGCTAATTTTTTGAAGGGGTGTGTGCAGTGCGCATGGCGGAAGCCCCTATCTAAACCCTGTTGTCCACCGTTGCAATCCATTCAGGTCTCTCGCATAAATTAGCTGGTCACTCTTGATATCCTCGGTCTATTCCCTACTACCCCTCGTGGGAAGAAGTATTCACTAGTGGGCGTCGAACATCTTTCGCACTGGCCGATGGCCTGGCCGCTTTCCAACCATTCGGCGGTGGCCATCACCGAGGCATTTCTCAATAGATATGTGATGGACAAGGGTGCCCCCAAGCATTTTTTGACCGATCAGGGCAAGCATTTTTCTTCTAAATTGCTGCGGGAAGTGTGCGACTTGTTGGGAACAAAGAAAGTACCTACGTCACTATAACACCCTCAGACAGATGGAATGGTGGAGTGGCTGCACAGGACTCTGACCTCCATGTTGAGCCATCAGGTCAGTAAGTCCCAGCTTGACTGGGACTTGCATATTCCTGGGGTCCTGGCTGCCTATAGAATGGCCCCTCATGCGTCCATCGGCTACTCACCATTTTTTTTAATGTACGGAAGAGAGCACGACCCCCCAATTGATGTCCAATTACGAGCCATGCCAAACAAGGCTAAATCAAACATTTCGGACTCCATGCGCTTTAACCTTCAGAGGCTTTCTGAAGCGCGCGAGGCTTCCAGAGAAAATTCCAATTCGCGACAATTGGCAAATGAGCGGCTGAAGGGTCTCCATCTTTCCGCACATGAGTGGGCTCCAGGTGACAGAGCCTGGCTGCACTGTCCACGGGTACCGGTGGGTACATCACCTAAATTGTTTAAACCCTCGAGGGGATCGGTTGATGTGATTTGGGTCGTTCGGCCCCAGTGCGTTCAAATTTTCTGGTATCGGCGGTATTGGTTCGTACATCCCTCTCTGTGGGAAGTCATCCCATCTCCACTATGCAGGGGCCGAGTGTCAGATGTTTCCGGCGAGCTGAAGTGTGTACCCACTGAGGTTGGTCCTCAGGAGAGTCATGTGATCCCATTCTCAGGTGCCACGCGTTAAACGTCCCCCAAGCCGCCACCTGCAGTGTCTCCCGGCCGATTGCTCTTCGTGAGGAGCCGGGTTGGATGGGACATTTTCAGATTCCCCCCGGGACCCCCAGGGAGAGTAACCCTACCTTCCCTGGTGACCCGGCCACAAGGACTCAATCAAAGAATCGTCGGTTTTCGTGATCCCCATACACACACTCCCACACCGTCAGTTGGTTGTCACACTCGGCAGGCCGTATCGGTTATTGGCTGAACCTGGCCTTTATTGTGCTTGCAGGTGTTGTTACATGGTGAGGGTGGGAGATTCTGGTACTGGAGGGGATCCCGAGGTTTTGCGTGTTACTGCATTTTGTTTTTCTCTCTCTCTTCCTTTGTTTTGCCTATTGTTGTTCTGTACTTTTGTCCCCTTTCTCCGTTAGTTGCTGGATATTTGTTTATAGTGTACATATTGTATAGATGGTTTGGGGTATTTATTTGCTGAGGCACACAAGGGGTTGTTTGTTTTATGTTTGTTGAAGGAAGAGTTGACAGCCAGGACGGCTGAGTGCTACGAAGGGGGGGGGGTGATGTAGTGACATCACGAGATGTCACCGTGTAGTGCCGGCCCTAGAGAGGCACGGTATGCGGTGTAACGACATCGCGGATACCACTATGGTGTGGGTGTAGTACCGGCCCTAGAGGAGCTCGGTGAGCGCTAAATGATAGCGATGGATGGCACCACGCTTAGCGTGCAGTGCTGGCCCTACAGGATGGGGTGTGGGAGTGCCAGCCATAGGAATGAGGTTGCTAAAGGCCATGGCACTCTGGTTGACCCGAGAGGACACATGACCAGTTAAGTCTACAAAGGGACCCCAAGTGGGGGCTCGGGGTGGTCACGTGGTCGGGGTCCAGATCCTGCTCGAGGATTCTGGAAGGTGGTCATGGCCAAGGGCGGAGCCAGCCACTCCGCAGAGAATATAATCCGGGTCCCCCAGAGGGACCGGCGTTGTTGTTCATCTTGAAGAAACCTTCATCTACGTTCTACCGAGTCTCCAACATGTGGACCTGGCCCGAGCTGTGGTCCGGTCCGTAGTATTTAGTTACGTTGTAATTAGTGTAGTTAGCCTGGTGGGCAGTTACCCTGTGTGTTGGTGTTAAATAAATGTGTTGCCTCCAAGAGTACATCTGCGACTCAGTTGAACTCACTACACATGTGTAGTGAGCCCAACTGAATCACAGAAATTGTCTTAGGAGCAACACTATTTATTACATAAACTCAACACAACATAACGTAACCTACGCTTGGGTGTTGAACGCCCATCTCACCACGCTACGGCAGAACTAGACACGGTCCCGCTATCCCGGTCCGGACCACGAGCTGGGTCCCAGACCACGTTGCTAGAGGCTTCTTAGGCCTCGGCAAGGTAAAATAAAAGATAAAAGGTTAAAACAACGAGCCTACCTTTATCCTACCTTTTACCCTTACCACAATACAATCACTCTACCCTTACCTTTTATCCTTTAGCAGGTAAGGTAAAATGTAAAAAGCAACGAGCCTACCTTTTACCCTACCGTTTACCCTTACCCCATACAAATTACCCGATTACAGGGTAATTACTGGGGTACTACGACATGAAAAGGTTTATAATGGTAAATGGTAGGTAGAGCGCTTTATTCATATAGAATACTCTCGATAATTCCAATTTTACACGCTTTCTTTGAACTCACTCTGTCTGTCGTTGTCGTTATTGTTGTTGTTGTTGTTGTTGTTGTTGTCATTGTTGTCGTCGTCGTCGCTGTCGTATCCTCAAATCTTGTAACTCAATTTTAACACACTTCCTAATGTGGTATCGACTGCAAACTTGGTATACGTATGTCATAATGATGACAATACTATATTATATCACTAAAAAAATACATATTTTTAAACGATATTTTGTATACGTTATGTTTCGGCTTGGCTCTAATTGTCCACACTCAACTCACGTTGGCTGTAATTAGCCACGTCCCCTTACGTTATGGCGAGCTTTGGGGCCACTTCCTGGAGTCGTGGAGTTCTGCCATTACTAGTACATTTAATAAAAGCGTGTTTTTAAAAAGTTTTTTTAATATTACTTATTAAATGGAGGCCACGGACTGCGCCACGGAGCTTCTAGCGGTCAACAAGGCACCGTATTTACCGGGTAATACTTCGCGCTATCTTTACCCTACCGGGTAATTCTTCCGAGCTACCTCTACCTTACCTTTTACCTTACCCCTTGGCATGTCGACACCTTTACCCTTTACCTTTACCCTTTTACCCGGTAAAAAGGGTAATTTACCTTACCTTGCCGAGGCCTAAGGCTTCTTCAACCTGACGTGGATCTTAACTCACCAATAGTCAAAAACCCCGAGCCCCACACGGGGCCCTGTTATATCGGCCCGGGCTGGGGCTGGCTCCGCCTCTCGCCCCGCCCACCTTCTTGATCTCTCTGGCCCTTTTCCGCGTGACCACCCAGCGGCCCCCGTGCACCAGTGGCCCCCCTCCAATATCATCTGGTCATGTGTCGGCAGGTCAACCAGCGTATCATGCCCCAACGTAACCCTGGCTGGCCGACACTCTCTCTCGATCCCTCACCGGGAGGCCGCACCGCACACTGTACGTGGTGCCTCTGCGCTAACCAGCGCTCACCCAAGCCCCACTAGAGCTGGTACTACGCCCAGTAACCGGGCTGCACATAATGACATTATCTGCCGTGGCCTCGCAAGCCCGGAATCACACAGTGACATTCACAGTCACTACACATGTAACGCGCTCTGACGCATTAAGGGCGCTCCATCAAAGACAAATAATTATCATCGTGTAATGTTTAGCAGTATGCTTATCAGCATAGGATTTCAGCATACTGATGCAATGAGCACTTTAAATCTATTGTAACTTAATTTGAATCTTAAAAAAGCGAATTCATTTTCTGGAAAAAAAATTTATTTATTAAATAATTGTGTTTTTGCTTTAGATCTAATTCGTATCTGGTTGTCTCTCTACGGATTATATTTTATTTTTTAATTGTTGTACTTTATTTTACGTTATTGCTTTTGTCACGATGGCGACACAGGTCACTCTAGCAAATGAGACTATTCTTGTCTCTGGCGTTCTCACCCAAAAACACAAAACAAACTAAAGCGTTTCACAACACAGTAATCACCAAACAAGATAAGCAATATCAAAAGTGTACACGCACAATTTAGCCGCTGTATAAACCCGCGCTATTGCACAATTGTGGTGGTTGTTTAAGCGGTCGTGGTGGCAAAACGGCATCGATGGTCGTGGTGTTTGTGGGTGTGGTGGACATGGTGGTGTTGAATGAAGGAGGCCGTGGATCTGATGATAGCGATCATGACTGTGGTCGTGGAGCTGGTGAAAGCGGTGATGACGGTGGTTGTGGGTGATACTGGTGATAACTGGGGTGGTGGTAGTGTGAATGTGAGACCCCGTTGTTGAGTTTGAGACCCAAACCGAAGTGGATCGCTCACCAGCCGAGGGCGGAGGGCCCCGCGATGAGTGCGTGGGCCATGGACACGCGCAGGTTCTGCCAGCGCCACAGCCGTGTCGCGTCCCCGCGGAGTACTGCGGGCGGAGGCGCCAGGGGACCCAGAGCCGGGCCCAACGCGCGGAATGCGACTGCCGACAGCAGCGAGAGGAGCGCGGGGTCCATGGCGGCAACGGGCAGGGGGGTGGGACGAGACACCAGGAGGGGAGGACGAGACACCAGGATAGGTGGGGGGAAACGGGGAGCAGGAGGACACGGGGAGCAGGAGGACACGATGGAGGGGGAGAACACGGAAAAGACTAGGTGGACAGCTATCGCGCTGGACAAGCGAAGGGGCTCTGAGGGCACGGACTTTACTACTCAAGGGAGGGAGGCGGTAGCAGCCGCCGAGGTTTCGCAAGGCGACGAGTGGGATGGTGGCGCGCGCGGTGCGGCGGGAGATTGGGAAGGAATCTCACCCGACCGGGTCCCGCAGGGGAGGGGCCGCACCTTGGGGGGAGGCTGGCACACCTTGCGGGTGGGGTGTGGGGACATTGCCTCGGAGACTTATAACGCGCGCCTCGCAGGGCGAAAGGGAGGCTCCACATTCCCAGGGCATCTCCACTCGGATATTCCTCCAGCCATGAAAGGACTGAGTCTTTTAGACTGTATCGTCCCATATTGATATTTGTTCAACAACCACACTGCATACTCTTTGGTTCTTTCGGTAAAGTCACGTAGGTAGAAAAAATAATAGATCACGACGTTTCGATCGCAACAATAAGCGACCGCAATATAATGCCTCGTCCACAGCAGTCTGCACCGTGTTGTTGCGATCGGAACGTCGTGATCTATTATTTTTTCTATCTACGTGACTTTACCGAAAGAACCAAAGAGTATTGATTCCTGCAGTCACAAAAGCTTAAAATCAACATTGAACCACACTGCAGGTCACAAAGACCCCCCGTAGAGCCTTCACATACTGTTGGAGCAAGTGCTGTTGCAGGTTACAACACACTCAGCCACCCTTTCACTCACTCATCAACTCTCTCACCTATTGACACTCTCAGCCACTCACGGACCCAATCACCCACCTACTCACACGCTCACCCACTCACTCACTCAATCACCCAACCACTAATGTAAACACTCACCCAAGCGCCAACTCCCTCATTGCGTAACCCTCATAGCGTCACCCTCATACCAACTCGCCACACTGCAAAACAATTGTTGAGCACGTGCCAAAAGGTCTAAACCGTCAAACAGCCACCAATAAACAGCACTATCAAAGTTGTGCTAGATAAAGGGTGAATGTGTATCTTGAATTGAGCAAGGTTTTTGTAAGAGCTTTGGGGGGAAAGAGACAATGTGAGGAGGGAATTCCAAAGTAGAGTATTGCGAGGGAAGAAGCATAAGGAAAAGTTTGTAACCTGCAGTGTGGTGAGTGGGGGTGTTGTTGTAACCTGCAGTGTGGTGAGTGAGTGGGTGTGTTGTTGTAACCTGCAGTGTGGTGAGTGGGTGTGTTGTAACCTGCAGTGTGGTGAGTGAGTGGGTGAGTGTTGTTGTGACCTGCGGTGTTGTGAGTGGGTGAGTGTTGTTGTGACCTGCAGTGTGGTGAGTGGGTGAGTCGTGTTGTTGTAACCTGCAGTGCGGTGAGTGGGTGGGTGAGTGTTGTTGTAACCTGAAGTGCGGTGAGTGGGTGGGTGAGTGTTGTTGTGACCTGCAGTGTGGTGAGTGGGTGGGTGAGTGTTGTTGTAACCTGCAGTGTGGTGAGTGAGTGGGTGAGTGTTGTTGTGACCTGCAGTGTGGTGAGTGGGTGGGTGAGTGTTGTTGTGACCTACAGTGTGATGAGTGGGTGGGTGAGTGTTGTTATGACCTGCAGTGTGGTGAGTGGGTGGGTGAGTGTTGTTGTAACCTACAGTGTGGTGAGTGGGTGGGTGAGTGTTGTTGTGACCTGCAGTGTGGTGAGTGGGTGGGTGAGTGTTGTTGTAACCTGCAGTGTGGTGAGTGAGTGGGTGAGTGTTATTGTGACCTGCAGTGTGGTGAGTGGGTGGGTGAGTGTTGTTGTGACCTACAGTGTGATGAGTGGGTGGGTGAGTGTTGTTGTGACCTGCAGTGTGGTGAGTGGGTGGGTGAGTGTTGTTGCAACCTGCAGTGCGGTGAGTGAGTGTTGTTGTAACCTGCAGTGTGGTGAGTGGGTGGATGAGTGTTGTTGTGACTTGCAGTGCGGTGAGTGAGTGGGTGGGTGAGTGTTGTTGTGACCTGCAGTGTGGTTAGTGAGTGGGTGAGTGTTGTTGTAACCTGCAGTGTGGTGAGTGAGTGTGTTGTTGTGACCTGCAGTGTGGTGAGTGAGTGGGTGTGTTGTTGTAACCTGCAGTGTGTTGTTGTAACCTGCAGTGTGGTGAGTGAGTGGGTGAGTGTTGTTGTAACCTGCAGTGCGGTGAGTGGGTGGGTGAGTGTTGTTGTAACCTGCAGTGTGGTGAGTGGATGTGTTGTTGTGACCTGCAGTGTGGTGAGTGAGTGGGTGTGTTGTTGTAACCTGCAGTGTGGTGAGTGGGTGTGTTGTTGTAACCTGAAGTGCGGTGAGTGGGTGGGTGAGTTTCGATTTAAAGCTTTCGTGACTGCAGGGATTCATCTTCTTGGTTCTTTCGGTAAAGTCAAGTAGAAGGGAAGTAATAAAATAATAAAAATAAAACATAATAAAATCAAATAATTCTCACGACGTTTCGGCTACAACGCAAGCAGCCGTCTTCAGGTGAAGAATGAGACACTGCCAAGCTAGGAGCTTATATATAAGCTGAGTTGGAGGTGGAAGAAGAAGAGAGCCTTAACAAAAGAATGTGCATATCAAGAGGAATTTAGCATATTCATGGAAAATACGTAGGAGGTGGGCGGGGGGGTTTCAAAGTCATATTATGCCCATGCATTATGCAGGATCAGCAGTACCAAAGGGAGGGGGGGGTAGCATTAACAAAGGGAGAGCATGTTAATAATATGTAGAAGCAATGAAACATGTGAATGGGAGAACGGTGGCAAGGAGACCCGCAGCGGAGCAAATAATGCATTCCCTGTGGAGAACACAAGATACAAAGTTAATGCCAGTGAGTGGACTGCGGTCTGAAAGTCACCATAAACGTGAACAACAATCAGTTAAGATCCGAAGTGGTTTATTACGTCCTTCCAATGATTGCTGAGCCAGAATCCATTTTCTCGGTTGAAATTGTCTCTGTGTTTGTATATGTGGATCGCCTCATGAACGAATCTCTCATGGTAGCCAGATGGCTTGCAGAGAACCTCTGTCTTGGAGAAGTCAATGTCATGTGAGCCCACTGAATTGTAACAGTGATCTGCCACGGCTGAGGTGTTGTCCTACCGTGTTTCAGGTCTGCTTTATGTTCACGGATGCGATCCGAGACATGTCGTTTGGTTTCTCCAATGTAACTGCTACCACAGAGGCAACTTAGTTTGTAGACGCCAGGGTACTGTATGTCTGGAACCACGTCTTTTATAGACGGGACCAGATCACGGATTTTATGTACTGTGTTGAATCGTACCTGAATCTTGTGTTTAATCAGGATTTTGGAGATCTTTTTTTTTTGTGACCCCAGCAATGTAGGGTAAGGTGATGGTTTTGAAAGGCTCCTCAGCAGGATCCTTCTTGACGGTTGGAGTGATGGCCTTGCGGATTGTGTAGTCGGAGTAACCATTAGCCTTAAGAGCTTGGCGTACGTGTTTGAGTTCACTGGCAATGTGTTCTACACCCGACCTTATGGAAGAGGTACGTAGATGACACTTTTATCATCTGGCCACATGGCCGGCCTGCTCTAGACCAATTTCTCGACCACATCAATTCCATACACCCAGCCATCAGATTCACCATGGAAGTCGAAAAAGATGGCAAGCTACCCTTTTTGGATGTCCTAATTAAAAGGAGACCTGATGGTTCAATGAGCCATTCTGTCTACAGGAAAGCCACCCATAAGGATGCCTACCTAAAACCGGATTCCCACCACCATCCATCCCAGAAGAACTCCCTCATCAAGACTCTATACCATAGAGCCCAATGCATCTCCGACCAGGAACACATTGCCAGTGAACTCAAACACGTACGCCAAGCTCTTAAGGCTAATGGTTACTCCGACTACACAATCCGCAAGGCCATCACTCCAACCGTCAAGAAGGATCCTGCTGAGGAGCCTTTCAAAACCATCACCTTACCCTACATTGCTGGGGTCACAAAAAAAAAGATCTCCAAAATCCTGATTAAACACAAGATTCAGGTACGATTCAACACAGTACATAAAATCCGTGATCTGGTCCCGTCTGTAAAAGACGTGGTTCCAGACATACAGTACCCTGGCGTCTACAAACTAAGTTGCCTCTGTGGTAGCAGTTACATTGGAGAAACCAAACGACATGTCTCGGATCGCATCCGTGAACATAAAGCAGACCTGAAACACGGTAGGACAACACCTCAGCCGTGGCAGATCACTGTTACAATTCAGTGGGCTCACATGACATTGACTTCTCCAAGACAGAGGTTCTCTGCAAGCCATCTGGCTACCATGAGAGATTCGTTCATGAGGCGATCCACATATACAAACACAGAGACAATTTCAACCGAGAAGATGGATTCTGGCTCAGCAATCATTGGAAGGACGTAATAAACCACTTAGGATCTTAACTGATTGTTGCTCACGTTTATGTTGACTTTCAGACCGCAGTCCACTCACTGGCATTAACTTTGCATCTTGTGTTCTCCACAGGGAATGCATTATTTGCTCCGCTGCGGGTCTCCTGCCACCGTTCTCCCATTCACATGTTTCATTGCTTCTACATATTATTAACATGCCCTCCATTTGTTAATGCTACCCCCCTCTCCCTTTGGTGCTGCTGATCCTGCATAATGCATGGGCATAATATGACTTTGAAACCCCCCCGCCCACCTCCTACGCATTTTCCATGAATATGCTAAATTCCTCTTGATATGCACATTCTTTTGTTAAGGCTCTCTTCTTCTTCCACCTCCAACTCAGCTTATATATAAGCTCCTAGCTTGGCAGTGTCTCATTCTTCACATGAAGACGGCTGCTTGCGTTGTAGCCGAAACGTCGTGAGAATTATTTTATTTTATTATGTTTTATTTTTATTATTTTATTACTTCCCTTCTACGTGACTTTACCGAAAGAACCAAGAAGAGGGTGGGTGAGTGTTGTTGTAACCTGCAGTGTGGTGAGTGGATGTGTTGTTGTGACCTGCAGTGTGGTGAGTGAGTGGGTGTGTTGTTGTAACCTGCAGTGTGGTGAGTGGATGTGTTGTTGTGACCTGCAGTGCGGTGAGTGGGTGGGTGAGTGTTGTTGTAACCTACAGTGTGGTGAGTGAGTGGGTGAGTGTTGTTGTGACCTGCAGTGTGGTGAGTGAGTGGGTGAGTGTTGTTGTAACCTGCAGTGTGGTGAGTGGGTGGGTGAGTGTTGTTGTGACCTGCAGTGTGGTGAGTGAGTGGGTGAGTGTTGTTGTAACCTGCAGTGTGGTGAGTGGGTGGGTGAGTGTTGTTG